GAGAATACGTTTGAAATAATTTTCTGGTCGATTAACTCGTTAAAAAAAGCCAAAAAAAGGTAAGTGAACTTCCAAGTTTTGACCTAGGACGCATAATATGAAAGGGTTGGCAAATGGCATCGGCTTTCTAAAAGTTGAAGTAGGTACTAGGGTACTGGGAAGAATTTCCTTTCCTCTCTCCTACTTCCCTCCAAAAAAAGCCTCTAATTAACAAAAAGGACATGTAGTAGCGAAAGTGGGGAATGAATTTTGTCAATTATCACACAATGCAAAAAAGAACGCTTCTAGGAATATATTGCTCTGATCTGAAGAAAAAAAACTACTCAAATAGCAAGCATTCAAAGCAACAAAAAAAGGCCTCTACAACTGGGTATAATTGCAGCTAACGAGCATAGCAAGCACTATAAATTCTACGAAAATAAGCGAGGACACACAAAAGCGGAAAGCGAACTTACAGTACGTGGGCTAACTAGCACTATAGAGGAAGAGCTGGAAGGTCCGTTGCGTACATGCTCGAAGAGTTTCGGTAGATCCTCCTTGACGAGCTGCATCACACGAGGACTGACGTTCAGCCAGTCGACCTCGTGCAACGGGTCGTTCAGACGGGCTTGCCGTCGCTGCTTTTTGCGTTTCATTATCGGAGCTGGGTCCTCCTGTTGTGATTCCTCCAAATGCGACTGCCGTCGTTCAGTAATGGTGAACAGAGACGATCGGAATCGCGATGTCAAGGCTTGCGATCTGGGCGATGGCGAATCGCTTAATTGCAGTCGTGGTATCCCATGTACTGCAACCTCGTTCAAAATTCTAGGAACAGAGCACTGAGGATAGGAAAGTTCTGCGGGTTGCACCGTTTCAGAAGATGAAATAAAGGGAACGGGCGGGGATTCGAAAGCAATGGGTGCATCGGGCGGGGGCGAATCACACTGAACAGCAAGCTTGGAAAGCATAAATGGTTCCGAAATACGAAACGAAAGCGGGGGAGAAAACAGAAGCGGATCGTGCGGGGTGCAAAAGCTGGGCTGATGACGAGCAGACTCGGGAAGACTGCGGTTTCTTACAGACTGTGACGGCGGCACCGTTATGTCGGATGGGCACGAGCGCAACCTCCGCGAGCGACGAGCCGATAATGCTGAAATGGTGGCAGTCTCAGTATTTAGTTTAAAATTCAAAAAGAGAAAATATTCTGAAGTTGGAACTATTCCAATCTTG